ATGTATACAGTTGAGTTAATTATCAGAGGCAGACCGTCTGATCAGAAAAATATAATGACAAATCACCAAAAAAAACTACTGACGATGGAATCTATCTGTTAAATTGTCCAACCCTAGTGTAATCCATTTGAATCTCCACTGGTAAATGAAATAAATCTTGGCATTCTGACACTTACACATGCAGTGGCCACAGGTTTGGTTCCAAACAGCCCCTTTGTTGTGTGTCTTCCGCATTTCTCTCCTCCCATTTCACATTTCTACTATTCTATCAATGAAGGTCAAATGGCAAAAAATTCTCTTAAATAAATGAATAATACAACTTGACAAGTCTGATGGCTGGGGTCATGAGAAATGTGAGGCCCATACGCAGCCAAAAACATTTCCCTCAGAGTGCCTCATGGGTAATGCCCTGCAGACACAAACTGATCCAGACATATGTCCTCAAACACACACTCACACACACACACACACACACACACACACACACACACACACACACACACACCAGGACTTTAAAGACCTGGCCTTGTTTACCCTCCACACAGATGGAGGGCGAGGAATGATGTCACTCTGGAGGACACATGTAGACCTTTTGTAGAGATCACACACGCAGCGACACATAATGATGATGTCTTATACATGTGTTGGTTCTCCTTGACAAACAGTTCAATATGTCTAAGTTAACAACTGTTAATGGAGCTAATAGAGCTTGAAACTTTGATTCCCCTGCATCATTTTTGCTGCTGCAGAGTCCTCTCAGCCCTCCCTCCCTCCCTGCTGTAGACTTTTTTTCTTGCTGTATCTGTGTGGCTTCACCTCCCTCTATCCTCATTTCACACATCACCTGCTCCCTGGGTGCATGTCCTGCAGAGAACAGTCTGACTCTAACTTTTTCTCCTCTTCAAAAAGGACACATCACATCTTTCCCCACTCACTCCCACGTTCCAAGGCATTATCACCCCATCCTGGTATGCGTAATGACTATTTTCAGGCAGGGAGGGTTAAAGAGTGATGTGTGTGTGCGTGCGTGCGTGTGTGCGTGCGTGTGTGCGTGCGCTGCAGGGTTATTCTGCTGACTGCGGGAGCTACACCTGGTGGGCGGGGTACGGCGCATCAGCATTTTGGAGAGGGGGGTGAATGATGATAAGGGTGGGAGGGGGAATTGTAGAAGGGATCAAACCAAATCCAAATGACTGGCCCCTCACACGCATACTATCACCAAACTCACACACAAACCTTACACTCTATGGAAGTCCAGGGCTGCCAATATTTAAATGAAGTTGAAGGTGACATTTAACATAGATTATTTTTGAAAAGTTCGCTTATAAAGTCGATTACAAAACTGGATCTGACTAAGTAAAGACTCTTGTCACATTCACATTCCCAGGTGGAAACTCATACTTCTGATTATTCTAACACCACATGAATGCACCAGCTATTAATGCTATATATTAATGCTATATTTGTGTATCTGTGAACTGTCACAGGCTGCATGCAGCCCAGAGATGTCTCCCACCCCTGTCATGAACCAAGGCTGACTGCCTATAGGTGGTAAATGCCAAAAGAGTATACGGCGACCATGAACACATGAAGATGAATGTTTGATTATTGAGTTTTGATTAGATTTTCTTTTTTCAAACATCATACACAAACAGAAAATGTTATCTCCATTCGATTAAACAATTTAGTTTCATTACTGGCATCCCTGAAGTTCCATAAAACACACCCCTTAGATTGTGAATCCTGCTCTGTGTGTGTGTGTGTGTGTGTGTGTGTGTGTGTGTGTGTGTAGAGGATGGGCTGCAGTGAATGAGTGTGTGTGTGTGTGTGTGTGTGTGTGTGTGTGTGTGTGTGTGTGTGTGTGTGTGTGTGTGTGTGTG